TTTATTATAATTTATTTTTAATTTCTATTTTATAATTTGTTATAATTTATTTTATATATTCTATGCACTCATAAATTTGTATAGTTTAATCTAATATATTTATTAGTTTTGTATTGTTTAAGAATAGAATAATAAAAAATATGCAAATTATCATTTCGTAATTCATTAATATATTTTTAAAATATGATTAAATTTTTTATGTGAACAGTTATTAAATATAATAATTCTAACAATATTATCTCTAAATTTCGATAAATTCATTAATTGTATATTATTCAAAAATTAATACAAAAATAGTTTAATTTATAAAAACTTTGTTTTTAACTCATATAAAATAATATCTCATAATCTTATGAAACTAGAACATTCGTTTAATTATTTATAGACTATAATATTTTCTTTTTTTTAATATGATTTTTTATTAAAAAAAATAAAAATTAAAAATTAAAAAATCAATTCAAAAGTAGTTTATTCATTTTAACTTATTTTAAAATCTTTGATTTATTTAATTAGTTTAAAAATGAGTTTTCCTAATATATTTATAAGTTATGATACAAATTATATTTTCCAATTAATTATTTATTGAAAACAAATATTTGAATAATTTTTTTTCAATATGTTTGTAGGATAAAATTTTGTAAAATAATAAAATTTTTAGAAAAAAAAGAGAGTATATTTTGAATTATAAAAATTTTAAATTCCATAAACGAATCTGATTTTTTTATACAAATTTAAGAAACATCTGTATTATTATTTTTTGTTGCTTTTAATTTTTATTATTTTATTTTAAATTTTTTCTTATATTTCAAATATTGAATATAAAAAAAAAAACTTTTTCGGTATAAATGTTTGAGTATAATTTTTAAAAATTATTATTATTATTATATCATTCACATTTAAGATAAGAAATAAAAATAAAAATATATACTTATATATATACGATTTAATTATGGTTTATAGTTAAAAAAATCTTAAAACAAATTTATAACGAATTCTATGATAATAAAAATGAGTGATATAGAATAAAAATGTAAATATTATTAATAGAACAAATATATTTTCTCTCTTCAATTTTAAATTTAGATTAATGAAAATAAATTTTTAATTATTTTAACAAAATATGTATTAAATATATTTAATTTTAAAAATTGAAAACTAATTTTAAAACAGTAGAAAACATATTCTTGAATTTTCTCCCTCCCACTATTTTCTCTTTATTAATATTGATATTTTCTAAATATTTGTATTATTAAATATTTAAATTATTAAAAATTTGATTTGTTCCCGTACAGTTATAAATTAAAAATTTGTTATTAAAACATGACTTTAAAATTTATCATGTTAAGAGGAAACATTTGGTTTAAAAGAAAAATTGTTTCCTTGGATACTTTAAAGTTATAACTTACATTTCTCCTATTTGGTTTATGTTTTAGAGATTATATTTCTTTTGGAATATACTTTTTTCTATTTCTCTCACAAAAATGCTTTCATATTAGAATTTAGTTTTTTAGTTACAAATATTTTTATTAAACATTAATGTTATTCATTTATTTCAAAAAAATACACAAGTGTTGTTGTGTATTTATAATAAATCAAACATATATTTTAACCTAGTTCAAGAATAATAATTTCCAAGATTCATGTAATGGAGAATCTTGAATTCCAGGCATAAATAAATTTTCTAGTATCAAAGATCTCCTATGAATTTAAAATATATTTTTAAATCAGCATTTCCTGTTTATTCATTAGTAATGGAAAAAAAAGTTATATTTATGTTCAACCACAAATCATAATTGTTATATATAATTACTCCTATTATAAATGTGATTACAATGAAATAATTTTTTTTTATCAAAAGTTTGAGAAATTTAAATTTAAATTATTAAATGAAAAATCATATTTTTTTTTAAATATTTAGGAAAATAAAGAAATAAAGTTAGCAATTTTTATATACTAGTTCAAATTTGAAATATATTTTCTTAAAATTTAACTTTATTTTTCCATTAAAGTATTTTATTTGTTCCTTAGGTGGTGGAAAGTTGTGTTTATCCGATTGTGCAGAAAAACCCATGAAGCCAGTAATTATCAAATTATCTCAAACAAAAATAATTTCTGAGACAAAAAAATAAATAAAATAGTTGTTCATGTTGATGAGGGCTTTTAAAAATTAAAAAGCCCACTTTTCATATAAAATCTTAACACGATATACAAATAGACAGTGAAAACTTGATAAAATGATTATATAATTAGATATAAGAAAACTATTATATAATATAGTTCTTTAATTTTAAAAAATATATAATTTTTTAACACACAAAATTAGATTCATGATCAATGTTATTTTCAAAAGGAAAATTTTTTTAATAATAACTCAACCTCATATAATAATATTTTAAGAAAAAAATATTATTTTAATCATCAATATAATATATATATATATATATATATATATATAAAATAAATAATCACCTAATGTAATAAGTAACAAATATGTTTAGCATGTATTGCACCATATGAAGGTTTATTTTATATAACTAAAATTTATAATAAAAAACATTTTTAAAATGTACTAAATATAAATTTTTGAATACATAAAATATATTTTAAATTTATGATAGTTTATATTATTATAAACTGTTATTTTTTAAATTATTATAACTTCTTAAATAAGAAATTAACACAATTTTCCCAGATATTATTATTGAACAAAAACCCTTATATAAAATAATAATAAAAAGAAAATCTTTATTTAAGATATTTATTAAGTTATATATAGAATTTTTTTATGTCTCGTTAGGTTGAAAATAAATTTTAAATAATATTATCATCAAAATTATTCAAAATCTAAAATATTTTAAACTTATCAACCCCAAACATAAACCAAAAGAACTACACTACACACAATTTCTTTTATATAATATAAACTAAAAGTTGTTTTCACATGTTAGTCAAAGAAGAAGTAATTGAATCAATTGGAAATAAGGTACAAGATAAATTAAACTAAAATATTTTCAAAAAAAATTTAAACACTTAAATATATACTTTGGTAATAGTTTTTTTTTTTTTTCAAACTCATGTTAAAACAATAGCGGAAATTTTGTGCAGGTACATAATTATAAGGTTCACATTATGTATTATAACAATCAAAAATCTGTCTTATATTTATGCAAAATAACCTTACTTTTTTTATTTATAAAAAATATTTATTTTTATCGTAAAAAAAACATATTTGAAAACAAAAATGCTTAATTTTCTAGCTCTATATAACATTTTGATAATCATTTACTGAATTGAAGTATGAGTATTAAGAGAAAGGTGGAGAAAAGTCCGCAAAACACCAGAAAAACAGCCACTACAGTACAAAGAAAGAAACAGTGAATTATTGTACAATTATAGAAATAGGTAGGTGATAGAGGGGAAGGACAAAATGGGAAAACAACAATGTCTCAAGTGTAACTAACCTTAGTGGTATTTGCTGGCTCTTTAAAGGGCAGCATTGACATTAAACCTATTAAAGTAGAGAGGCGCTACTAGTTACGTTCTCATTCTATTTTTTCAACCCTCTCTTTCTCTCTCTACAAGACTTTCTCTGTCCACAACCATCATACCATTATACCTTACCTTACCACCCCTTCCACCACCCTTTTCTCTCTTTTATTAACACATCACAACACAAGAAGAAAGAGAGGAAGAGTGAGAAAAACAAAAACAAAAACAAAAGGTGGTAGATGCATGAGCCACAACACAACACACATTATCTCATACCACACTCACCACCTTGTATCCCCCAAAATTCTCATAATTCTGCCTCTTCTCTTGCCCTTTGTCTTAGATTTCTCACCACCCCACTTTCCTTCTCTCTTCTTTGCTGCCACCTTATCCCTCCCTTTTTACTTTTTTTTTTTCAGGTATATTTGCCAACAACAATGGCTTGTTTTTCCGTCTCCGTCTTTTCTGTTTTTGTCTCTTTTGTTTATGTTTCTTGGTCTTCCAGTTCTTTTTTTTTCTCTTTGGTGTGTGATGAGATTTTTTGTCATGGGCATTTTGAGTTGACTGCTCAAGAGGCTAAAAACTTGGTCTTTCTCTTGTTAGCTGTTCTGGGGGTCTTGAATTTTCGTTTGAATGCGTTATTTGGTTTGTGTTTTTATGTGGTCAAATGGGTTTGTTTTCTCTGTTACCATCCCCTTGCAAGAAAGTTGGTAGGTTGATGGGGTTGACTTCAACCCAGGGAGAAAGACTCGGCTCATGCGCATGATTTTCGTTTCTAAAATTGGATTCCATTTAATGTTGTTGGGGTTTTCCTTAGGAAAACCATGATATTATCAACTTTGTTTTAAAAAAATGTGTTTTTCTTTGAAAATAGTTCTTTATCCTTCAGTTTTAAAGGGATTAGCGATACTTTCTGTTGTGATCAAATTGATTAGTTGTTTTGAACAATTGTGTACGAAGTGTGTTCTGGAGTGGTTAAAATTGTATTATTTTCAAGGTTTATATGCATTTGTGTGTTTGTTTATGGAAGTTTTGCTACATAAAGCGTAGGATCACTTTGTTTGCACTGCTTAAAAGTCAAAGCAGGGTGATTTGCTGAATCTTGTATTGTTGGGATCTAGTTCTGAATGTGTTATACCGTGTTTTCCTTCCTTCCTTTTCTATTTATATTTGGTCTCAGAATTTGGAAGAGACTATTTCTGTTTGTGGTATAAATAGTCATGTGCATCCTTCTAAGACATTTTTTGTCTTTTACTCATTGGTTGCAAATTATTTTCTTGCAGACTTGATAGTAAATTTTTGGATATCTGACATGACATTATATGGTTTTACAATATGGAACTGATCTTGGAACTTTCTTATTTCCCTATAGTCTAACTTTCATTTTCACATGTCTGAAACCATTCTATTTGTAGGTACTCACCCTTCCTGCTGAGTTGAAGGAAAAAATTAGTATTATTGAAAGTTAATCACTGAACTTTTATGACTTGGTAAGAAAACTTAAGTTAACAATGGTAAGTTTGAGAAGGCGCAGACTGTTGGGACTATGCTCAGGTAAGGTGTTGATAAACATGTTACTGTCAATGTTGAGAGTATACTTTTATGAAATGTGTTTTAACTGTAACTGACATTGTTTTCAAATATATTTCTCCTACTGCAGGAAACAGTTCCTTTGTCACTCCACTCCCTCTGTACTGTGAGAATCTATCTAGTCTTGAGAATTCAAGCCAGCAAGCTAAACCTAAGAGTGAGCAGCCTGTGCTTTCCGATGATGCGAGCAACCTGGACAGTGTATGAACAGAATTCAAATGATACATAATTATATACATGCTTTTTTGAAGCTTCATTTTTTTTTTCCTGTGAAGGCACTTCAGGATTTTGGAATTGGTATCTGTTTAGGGCATCTTTTATTTAGCATTGCGTTTCAATCAGCTACATATTCGAATCATTTAAACATTTATTTTATTTTTTGTCACAATGCTGTAAATTCAGTTGAAAATCCTGGTGGGGAAGAAACTTTGGCTTCAGTTTTGCATTCTCTATCTTCCTTTGAAAATGTTTAAATAATTGAGAATTCAGCCAATGAGATGAGAATTACTCAGAATGATTTCAAGAGTTTCAACTTTCAAATAATGATTCATTCTGAATCTGTGATTATAAACATTCATCTTTAGATGTGTTATCATCTTCATCCCTATAGCATGGGTATGCCCAATGCTAAGTGGTTGGTTGGGCAATTCCCTTCTTTTTTCTCTGTTGTTTGTCATTTTGGGTAATTGGTTGGATAAACTTGGTGGTCCAACCATCCAAATTTATCTTCATAGTCTTTACTAAATATGGTAAAAAGATCATTGGTAACATTTCATCATGTCTTCAAATTTTCCTTTTGTTTGGAACGTCTTCATTTTAATTTCTGTATTTAAAGATTAAATACTCATGCAGAATTTACAAGTCTGTCTCCTGTCCTAATACTTCTAAAAGCTTTATCCATTTTGATTCAGTTATTGCATTCTGTCATACTTTCAAAATGTTCTTGCCCAAACCTAGTATGACATATTCATACTTAGTAATTATTGGACATAATTGACCTCCTTAGAATTCATTCAGTGTCATTCTAAATAGAAAAGGACTAAAGTAAAAAATAAATAAATCTGTTGATAAGTTAGTTGTTAAATTGATCATCATAGTATTTTTTTGTGTGTCTTCTCGAACTGGATGAATAGATTAGAAGCTTTTTAGCATTGGTCTCTTGTTGCCTCTGTTTACTTGCTTCATCTCAGGGCAGTGATTCTTTCCTTTTAGGTAAAGTGAATTTGGAGCTGTTAATGTTGTCTCCCCAAGGATCATATGGTTTTCATTTGTTTCTGCACTGGATAGCAATTTCCCTTCGTGGGAATAACTTGTTTGGTTTTGATGGGTTTTCCCCAAGGATCATAAAAATAATTCTGTTAATTTTGGAAAGAAATCCTAGAATATTTAGTGGTTTATTGTTGCCTCCTGAGTTTTTTTTTTATCAACTAGTACACTTGGCTTCCTTGTGGTGTTCTGCTAATGGTCTTCGTAGGGAGTTGTCTTTGTTAGATATGAAGAGAGATTGGCACTCTTTCACATATTTTATGTTCAAAGTTGTTTTGTTTCTCTATATCTTGGTGTACATTTTAAGGATTTCTTTTCCTACTGCATTTGCATCGTTTTTTTTTTTTTTTCGTTTATTGAAAACAAAAGAACATAGATGGTGGTACTTACCTGTCCCAACTGTTACATGCTAAGTTGGTGGGTAAGTGTGAATATGAAGTCCTACATTGAATAGTGATGAATATGTTGAGCAACAAATCAGTGACAAAGATCGACAAATTATGGTGTGTTTGTTTTTCTGATTCAACCATGTTTATTGGAGTATCCCTACTTTCCAAGACAAAAACATAGAAGGAAGTGGTATGTCGGATTTAACTAAAATCACTTCTGGTTGTAGTGTCAAGTTTACTTGTGATCATTGATGGTAGCTTGCAAAGATTTTCTATTGATGATTAGCACTTATGAAATAGATGCTTACCAAGTTGAAATCTAATTAGAAAGTTATGCCCTTGATATTCTATCTGTTATTTAAATCATTTAGTCAAAAGCTTAAACTAAACTGTTTTATGTTACCAGAATACTGCTGCACAAGAAGAACCAGGATCATCAAATGTTTCTGGTTCAAGCTCATCGAAAGAGCAGCTTCTTCAACAAATTACAGGTATGTCATTTTAAGAAGCCAATTCTTTCCTGTTTTCTGTATATATCTGGTATAGTTTATAATAATGACTTAGTTACCTAGTAAAATGATATTTCCTTTAAGATGTGTTTGGAATTATTAAATTTGAAATGATTTGATGTGATTTTAATTTCAATTAGAAATCAATTCTCATGATTGGATTTGGATCCCATTTTTAAAAAAGTAGGATTTTTAAATTGTTTTATCATTCAAATTTCTTGTTTGGAACACAAAAGATAAATTAAACTGTTCTTAAATTGGTAATTACATTGTTACCCTGAAAATAAGTTGAATGGCTTAACTAAAAGGGGCGGAAAATGTCAATGCCATCAATTGGAGCTAAAATCAAATCACATTCAATGCCAAGCAAATTTGAATTGATTGATATTCAATCTACTTCGATAAATTTGTATTTTCAACATCAAATTAAATCAATAGATAAAATATTTTATTCCTAACATACTATTACAACAAGGTCTTTTAGGTTGTTTTTATTCGTTTCTTGAGTTATTTATCATTATTTATAGAATTGCATAAAAAGCTAACAACCTTAATGAAATTATACACCCAAAAAATGAGTTGACATAAGGATAATTAAACTCATATGACTTGAAAATAAGGGATAAGAAAGGAGTTTGGTTTGTAGTAAAAATCATTGTGTCTTAATCGAACCACTTTGTGGGAGCTTGTTTACTTCAAAGTTATCTACAAAGAGTGCAATATACTTTATTAAAAAACCTAAGATGATACCTGGATAAGGGTCTATTTGGTAGTTAAAAATTGTATTCAGAGAATACACATGATTAGTGAGAAGAAATTGTGCTATTTTTTTCCTAATCTGTTATGTGTGCTCTATTTCCTTATGTGGTGCATTTGGTCCACTTGCTACTATAATTATATATATCTTGAGGCAATGTCTGAATATGCTTATTTGATCATATTTAAGTGGTCATCAACTATTGCTTCATGAATATGGTTATTATTAACTTCACTGGAATGCTATGGTTTGGTATTATCATTTTACCCAAAATTCTTAGCAATGAGAATCAACAATAAAAAATCAGTGATCAATCTTCTAATTACATGTACTGCGTATTTGGTATGTGTATCTAAGTAAAGAAACTGGTAATGTAGCCTTGGACTCTGTGCCCCCTGTCTATTTTTCATGGCATCAAATGTATTAATTCAAGGAATGCAATTTTCATGGATAGTTCAATATCCTTGCTATCATCCAGTGCATGGATTAAATTACCAAAAAGAAAAGAAACTGAACAGAGAAATGTTTATGGTGAAAATTTAGTTTGATTGTAGGCATATTGAATTCAAAAGAGACATTTTCAGTCTAGTTTGAGCAAATGTCACATTGTTTTCTCTACTTTATTTCAAAGATTTGTACTGGAATTAGAAATTATGAAAATAACACTATGTTTTCATGGAGAAATATTTGCAAGTAATAAATAAAGTGAAATATGATGAAGTTTTCGTAGTTATTAGTGAAAACAGGAAATGGAAAACATTTTCTTGAAATCGAACAAGTCTCTGTTTTACTCTTTGTTGATTAGAGTAACATTAAATTTTCTGTTAGATTGACTTCTTATTTATGCATGTATTGTCTGTTACCTCTTGACTTGTATTTAGCAGGACCTCCTATTAAACGCAGAAAGCGACATAGAAGGAAGAATTTGCACAATCAAGAACCATGCTTAATGAGAGGTGTCTACTTCAAAAATATGAAGTGGCAAGCAGCTATAAAGGTGGACAAGAAACAGATCCACCTAGGCACTGTTGGATCTCAAGAAGAAGCTGCTCACTTATATGACAGGTAGTACTCTGAATTACAAAGATTTTCACCAGCACTAATTCATTTAGATGCCTCAAACGCATAGTGATAATATGCAAACCTTTCAGTTGTAATTGATAATCTGTCAGTGTAAATTGTTGGATCTGTTCTTGTGCTGTGCTTTTTACTCTCTATTCCTTATTCCTCCTCTCTTCCATATCCTAACATGATTTTTTTCCACTTCATTATCATATCATTTTGGAGTTTTAGTTACCACAATTAAACAAAACTGAATTCAGTAGCTGAAAAAAAAAAGCAGAGATTCTTTAAATCTAAGCACATTATTATTGTTGTTTGAGACCCTCCGGACAAACACTCCTCAGTTTTGATTGATATTATGCAAAGTTCAGTGGTGTTGTTGATTGATATATGCAAATGCTAGGTGGTTGTTGTTGTAGTTCATGCTAATTTTGTTTTCCTGTCCACTTTGAATCATCGAATGGACGTGGCCTTACATGGTGAATTTACATTAACTTTTCTACTGTCTAGCAAAGTTCATTATGTATGCATGTTAGCTACCATAAGACATTGTTAATACTCAAACAAAATATTTGAATGATTGGATGAAAAGTAGGAAGATTTAATACTCAAATGGTTAAGTTTTCATTATTTCTTTATCATAGGGCTGCTTTCATGTGTGGGAGAGAGCCCAATTTTGAGCTTCCCGAGGAAGAGAAACGCGAACTTAGCAAATTTAAATGGGATGAATTCTTGGCAATGACTAGACAAGCGATCACACGCAAAAGTAATATTTCTCTTTGAGCCATTTCTTGTGTTTTTCTAGATTTCTTTTACCTCAAATTTTAACAGTTGCAGACAAATGTTTTGTAGAACACAAGAGAAGGCTTAGTCCTGGACCAGGTAACAGTCATGGTATGCTTCCACTGCCCAAAGATGATTGGGACAGTAAGCAAGGAGTGATTGAAGATGCAGACCAAGAAACTTCCATGTCTTGAAAATTATGATTCTGGAATAACTAAGAGTGAAGATGAAAAACCTCTAGTCCTAACACTTCAACTCTACATCATGCTAAATCCATTTTTATTGTAGAAAAAAAATGCAGTATTATGTCAGACCTTGTTGGCATTGATCTTCCTTCATTTACGAATTTCTTCACCTTGACCTAATAAAGGGTCCATCCAATATTATTTTACGTTTCAACTACCAAATGCTGAACTCTATTAGTCCATCAAAGTAGTGCAAATCCATTTCTTCTTCCACTTGGTGTGAATAAATGTGCTGCTCATTGTTTCTACCACTTAGAATTTATGCCTAGATGAAGAAGTCTTCTCAAACAGTTAATTGAATTGTTCTTCAACTTACTTTGACCAAAATGATTAATATACAAACTATTAATTTTTCAAGTTAAAGTTTGTCTCCAAAATTAAAGTTCAAGTTTAGATTAAACATTTTCTCTTTGATCTTTCAAATAAAAATATATTACAAAAAAAAAATGTATATTTTAGGTTTAAATGATTTTTTTTTTATCTCGAAGCCATGGAGGATGATATGATATAGATGTTGTAGCATTAGTGACATGCTATGATAATGCGTCACGAAAATTCGAAAAGAAAACATTTTTAACTTTTAATGATACTAATGTAATTTGCAGAAACTATTACACAACTTAAAATCTTTTAATGTGATAATTTATCGTCAAAAACCTATTTTGGTGGGAAGGGTATGTTTAAAAAATTCATTAGTTTATTGAAAATTAGGGTTGGAATTCTAATCTCATTTTAACAATTTGACAATTTTTATTTTCTTATTATCGCTTGCCACGTCATCTTTAGTATTGTGTACATCTGAACAAAATTTACAGAGTTATACTAAGAAAATGATTAGTTTTCTTGGCAAAATTTGTGGCACTAATGATAAATAAAATATTGATATAATATTCATTTTTACAAAAAAAAAAATGAATGTATATCCAATCACAATTATTTTGACTTAATAAAAAACTATATTCGAGGTATTAATAAATATCAACATTGATAAAAAAAATATTAAATATGTTTTTGTTCTGTATTTTTTTAAATTGTTTTTTATTTCTTATATTTTTTTAAATTAACGAAGTGTCTTTAAACTTAAAAAAAGTATTTAGTCCTTTAAGTATTTTTATAAAATTAAAAACATATTACCAAATATCAAATTAAGATATAAAAAATATTAAAATTACATTTAGTCATTTTATCAATTTTATTAAAATAAAAATCATAATTAAATATTAAATTTAAATATATAAAAAATCACGTGTTTTAAAATTGGGGGATCAGAACAGTTTAAAAGTATAAGGACAAATATATATATTTTTTTATTAAAAGAAATGTATATCTCTTGATGTATAAAAGTATTCTCATACATTTTTTTCTCCAAGTTAACACAACTTTATATTTGGACTCAAAAATATAAAACCTCTGGTTAAATTGAAACAACTTAGTGTAACTTAATCTATAATTTAACTAGTATGAAATTATGAATAAAGATTGTTCTAGTAACTTATGAATAAGGGGTAAAAGTAGATTAAATTTTTAATCAATATTTTATCTAAGAATTATAGTATTTTAATCTTACTTAATGATAACTCTTTTTATTTATGAGTGAAATAATTTAAGCGTCACAATTTGATTGTGACACTTCTCCTACAAGACATTTGATGCATCCCTATTACTAATAAATTTATAAATATATAAAAAGAATGAATTAAAAAAAATATTAAAGTTAAAAATAAGAAATAGTGATTGAGATGGTAAAAATCAAGATCTAGGTGATAAAAATTGAAATCAAAATGTTAAAGATCACGAGAGTGAAAATAGAGATGAATGATAAAATTGAGATCAAGATTGAAATATTCAGTCCAGACAATTATAGAAAATCGAGAATATAAGTAATAAAAAAAGTTAATCGGGTGATATATAAGAAAATCAAGATATATGAAAATAAGTGATAAAAATTGCAAATAAAAGAATAAGATAATTAACACTTCATATAAATCTTAAAATCTTGAATGTATTTTATATAATTATCTTAAAATCTTCATATGCATTTTTAAGCTAAAGGAAGCATATTTTGGCTCACGAATTAGAATTAAGAATATATATATATATATATATATATATATATATATATATATATATATATATATATATAAATAATAAATTTATTGTACGTTTGAGTGTTATTAATTTTTAGTGAAATTTAAAAGTAAGAGTGTAACTAGATATATAACTTGAGGTTAGAATATTTCTTCTTATTTTATAAAGAGTATTCTATTTTATTTATTATTGGAACAAATTTGAAGAGATAATTACTTTGAATTTGAGGAACAAATCATGAGAATAAATTAATTGAATCAAAATATATAATTCCGATGTTAATTTGATATGATGGATTAAATTTATTTTTTTTTGTAAAAATATTATTAATATGAAATATAAACCGATTTTTATGAAGAAAATATAATTGGACTCTTCGCACGATGAATTAAATTATTAAATTTTAATGAGTATTTTTAAGAATAATATAAAAATTTAAAAACTGTAAGTACAAAGACAGTAAATGACTCTTTATTAATTTTTATATGTTAGTTTTGATTATTATTTAAATGTCATGTACATAATTTATTTAGAAATGCTTTTTTTCCTTAAAAAAATTATCCTATATCCATCCATTGGAATTGTCCTTTTTATTATTGCATTTTTTTTAATATACACTAGAAATAAAAACTAACCAATTTATCATCTCACTAAATTAGATTTTTTGTTCTTTAATTTTTGTTTTTATTCTTTCAGTTGGTTTCTATTTTAGTAATAAATATAATAAACAAATAGTCTTATAAAATAAGATGTCTAATAAATATATTTCTATAGGTATAAGATAGAACGCAAAATTTAACCAAATATTTAAATTATATAAATAATAATAATAATAATAATAATAAAGATTAATAAAATTTAATAAAATCGACGAATAGTAAATATTGAAGCATAATCGTTAAGATTTAATAACATAATTTTCATGTTTAATATGTATTTTTTACCTTTCTAAATATGAATCTTATTTTATTTATAATGAGTTATGAAACAATAAATTAAATCATGAGAAGTACTCATATTTAATAATTTACCGAATAATTTCGAAAAACATAGAAAACCGAAATAAAAGGGCAAAAGTAGATGAGAATATCAATGTTATCACATCAATTAATTAGACTAAATTTAGGAGAAATTTTATAAAGGGGTGGCAATCTTACCTTTTTTAGAATATCAAAAGTACTTTTTATAATATTCTTTCATTTTCGTGTTCTGAAAAAATATATTTTACATATTTTCTTATTTTTGAAACATTTCCTTTCTTTCTGAAATGTATTTTTTAGAATATGTTTTTTTTTTAATATTCTTGAAAGTACTTTTTAAAATATATTTCCTTTCAAGTTTCAAAATGTATTTTTTGAAATGTAAAAAAGAATATAAAAAAACATGTTGCTTTCTAAAATATGAAAATTCAAGAAAATGTTTTGGAATAATAAATTAATTGTATTTTCGGTTGTAATTTGTACAAAGAGTATTTATGATGATAATATTGAGAGAGAGAGAGAGAGAGTGTAGTGTATATAATAATTTGTATAACGAACAAAATTAATCTCACATAAGATTTTAAAAAAGTCACAAAGCCAAACAAAGTTATTTTGATTTTTCTTTCCCTCTACAATCAAACTAAATTGATGGAGAACACCTCAATTTCATGTTACAAATTCTTGATAATAATTCGCTTTGTCTAATTACTTCGACCAAATTTGTATTAAATTGTGCAACGATATTGATAATATTGAAATCGTCGATCTTATTCGTAAATCTATTGATGCCAAATCGTGAAAATTGAGGTGATTTTGAAAATCATCCACAGACAATTTGTATTATTTTAATTTAAGGTGTGTACGAGACAAATAAAAGACATTTATATTTATTTCCAATAAATACTTTTAATCTTTCAATAATTAAATAAAGTAATAAAGTATTATAGACAAAATATCTTAATACTTAATTTATTCTTAGGAATATTTTATAAATCTAAATTAAAAAAAAAATATTGTAGGCAAATTGTGGATCAGCCCTAGGCAGTGTTAATTTTGCGACCATCAATTTGTGGTTGTTATACATGTCTCAAATGAAAAGACATAAAATATTAAGAAATGGGTAATATAAATGACTATCACAATTAATATTTTCTGAACCTTTGTTTCGTCTATACTTAAACAAAACACTTAATAAAAATAGAAGTAAAAGATAAAACATCCGTCAACTGTTTCTATGTTATAGTTTATAAAAACACTTGGTTTAGAACAATGCAAAACTGTTTGTTTTAAGAAGAGAATCTATTGCGTGAATCCTAAACACAAAAGGGCCTACAGCCCAACACGCAATACAGCAATGTGAGGCCTGGCCCAACTTGCAATACGTGGCGTTTGAAAAGTAAACATAATGGAGCATTTATGATGTATCTCAACCACGGGCAGTTTAACGTTAATTCTGGGAGTGGTCCTACAATTTTATAGAGTGAATCAACTAAACATAACCCAAGTCTGATGTTTAAGTCTAACTTCCCATTTTCTAAATCCATGAAAAAGAAAGAACTAATGGTTAATTTTGCTCTCAGAGCAGAGCCTTTGGGGTAGGTAGGGGGAGAGGGAGACATATTTACCCAGGAAAAAGTAATTACAACAAAAGTAAATTTATACAGATTTAGAGCTAAATCATATATCACTGTTAGAAGAAACCAGGGCTGAGTGTTATTTCCTTTCCAGTTTGAGGTTTAGTGATGATGGTGATGATGATGATGAGGTCAGGATAGAAGAGAGACAAGAGAAACAAACTCCAGGGTGACACGGCCCTTGGACCTTGTGTTGATCACAAAATGCTCCGGGTACTTCCTTAACAGCATAAGCAAGCCAAACCAAGGCTTCCCTTTGGATTCAGGACCAGGCCAATCTTCTGATGTCAGATACCTCCTCACTCTACTGTGATGCCAAACACTGCTATACTGCTCCAACAGCTAAACCAAAAGAAAAGAAAAAATAGAAAAAAAGAAAAAGGGATAAGTTAGGCACTAAGAATTAAATGGATCAGTTCTTCATAGCCAACATGTTTTAGATGTATAATGACACATTTTAAGTTTATTTAGGATAATCTTGAGTCATTGCAGTCAATCATTTGCGCCATTATTTTCATATTCTCACTGTTCATCTAATAGATGGAAAAGCGTCACACTACTAGACGAGCAATTCCTACAAAAACATCAATGTGATATTGTAGGTTCTCTGAGAAAATCACTTACCGTTAGACAAAATCTTGATATGAAGAAGCATGAGTAATTACAATGTAACATGTTATTTAACCATAGAAATCCTAGTTCGCCAGATGGATGATTGTGTCATTAGTAAATATTTGTAAGGCTATGAGCTATTAAGAGGACGTTTGGAATCATTAAGTACAGGAATACTTGCCAAAAAAAAATCGTTTGTTCGGAAGTTTATACAAATATCAGGGAACATTCACTCATGAGTTTATTTTCTGTTTTCATTTTTTAATTATAGAGTCACTTTCCTTTCACTATGTTTCTTGTTTTTAAAGATTTGTACAGTAAAGATTTTTTTGTTTGTTTTGTTTACTCTGTTTTCTAAACAAACTTTTGAAATCAAGAAACACATGATAAACAAAGCAACCGTTGTCTACAAATACTAAAAATAAAAACACATAAATGAAAATAGAAAATAAAGACACGAGTTTTGCTCTTGTTTTTGGAATTGGAAATTCATTTTCATTTCACAAATACAAATTCACTAAAATTTGTTTGATTTGCTTGTAGCTTCAATTGTTGTGATAGGCATTTTCCCTTGTTTGTAAGTCATTTAATTCTTCCGTAAATTTTTGTCAAAGTCTATCTGGGAGTGCCTCATTGCATCACAGTCTGGCAGCAGCCATTATTCTGAGTTAGTTAAGTTGTATTTTATTGTGAAAGAAACTGAAACCAGGATGTTTAACACATACTAGACTGCTTTCATAGAGTATTCAAAACAAAAATAATCTCAAATATTTAATGTTACAGAAGAAGGTTTGAAGGAATTTTGGGTTTGAAGGATAACAAAATACAAGGGTTCCAATTGGGATAAAACTCTCCGTACCTCTTTCTCATCTACATTTACATTCTATGATCCAATTCCTCTGTCTATTTTCTTGCCATGGCCTGGTTTTGTCTACATTTGCATCCTATGATCCAATTCTTTTGTCTATTTTCTTGCCATGGCCTGGTTTTGTCCAGTGACTACGTGCACCTGTCCACTGACTCTGCATAATTTCAACCAGGTTGTCTTTATTTTATGTTCTCACCGTCCCACAAGTTATTGCTTTTCTCTTATTGTCCCGTCTTATTTTCCTTCTCTGTTTTTTACTGATTTTCTGTTTTTTTATTTTATTTTTTTGTCCCCTAGGCTAGAACTTTTTCATCAACTTTTATTGCTATTTTACTTCTACGTTCTGTTTGAGACATGTTATTTTTTCCTCGAATACGGTATACATTCTGCAATTTTTGTTGTAATTGTTTGACATGCACGGCTATTTAACCTGAAACAAATTCAATTGGTTTGTAATGTGATTCAAAGTAGTCAATCATGTTCTGTAGTGTCACTGTGATGAGGTAATGTTGCAAACTAGGTTTTGCAACACATCTTAATATTGTAGCCACCACGGCTGCTCTACTGCTGGATATCGTACAATGCTGGCAAGACTGGCAACCCTCAATTTAATAACGGTTAAAAAACTGCTTTTACTTTGTCAATTTCAAAATTTGCATATTTGAATGTTGTGGGCCATAAACCACATCTGACAATCATAAACTTCGGCCATGACTCTACTGGAAACTCCTTGTACCCTCACAACACTAATGTGCTTTAAAATTTTATTAGAGATTAATTTCAAAATCCCTCTCTTTTCCTTCTGAAAGACCTCCTTGTATCCTCTATCCTCACAACACTGAGTGCTTTAAAATTTTATTAGAGATCAATTTTAAAATCCTCTCTTTTCATTTTGGAAAACCGTAAGATGTAATATCTCAAATTTTATAATACAATCTTTTTCAGATACAATTATATTACTTATGAATTATATAAACATTTTTTTTTAAATAATAGAAGACGTGTAAAAAAATAAGGGACTTATCTCTTTATATGAAGAGATAAGCATAAGATAAAAATCATTACTTAGTAAAAACATAAGATGTTAAAGTTGAAATTAAAATAAATGATTATATAAATATTTTGTTAAAAATAATATAAGACGTGTAAAAAAAAAATAAGGGACTTATCTCTTCATACGAAGAGATAAGCATGAGATAAAAATGTTAAAATTGAAATTAAAATAAATGAAAACTTAAAACAAAATTTTAAGTAAAAATATAAGATGTTAAAGATAAAACAAAAAAGTGAGAAAGAAAAAAAAAAAAAAATATATATATATATATATATATAGTAATAATCTTTAAACATTCTTCATTCAGTTTCAATGTATGTTATGCCGTTATTAAAATAAGATCCTCTTCATTCGATGTATGCTTTGTCGTTAGTAAGATAAGACACTCTTCATTCAGTTTCAATGTATGTAAGATATCTCTGTCTTCATTCTATTTCTTTATGCTGATATTATGTAATTTATTTTAAGTTACATACTAATTATTTCTATTAATTTATATTTATATTTATATTATTTAATTTGTCTCTCATTCTTAAAATTATATTTACTAATTACTTGATCTCATTTTTATTTAATGAGATATTCCAAAACCACTTTGTTTAAGAATTTTATATTCGTTAAGTAGCTATATTTCTTGATTTTAATATTCAATATTATTTTATTGACAGATAAATATTATAAAAATAATTTAATTTTTTTAATTATATTTTTTTATAAATAAAAATTTGATGACATTATAATTGAAAGTTGAGCTTAGAGATTCAAACAAGTAAAGACACCCAATTTGATAGGTAAAGACACCCAATTTTCCAAATCTTTTATCTACATTCGTCTATGATGTTAGCTTGAATACAAATATAAAAGATAATTCAATCGCTTATTGTTTCTTACATTATTTCTGACATTAGATCCTTAATTATTCTGACATTGTATCTCATATCAACCATTTAATCATTTCACTACGAAAGAAAAAATTGTAGATAAATAAAACTTTTCCTTTCTTTCTAAATAATAAAAAAATCTGCATGGAATGAAATAGCCGTAATATAATATATATATATATATATATATATATATATATTAGAGAAACACTTTATACGAGACTTGTGAATCAGTTCATCATCAGATTTTAATTGCAAATGGCAATAACAGGAGAATTAATTGTTATTAAATATCAACTGTGATTTCTTTAATTTAAATAGTCTTGTCAAAAGTAAAATAAAATAATATTATATTATATATATTGTGTAATTTACCATTTTATATTATATTTTTATTTTATTTTTTTATTACGTAGATTGTAACGAGGAGTTTTATTTATCTACCATTCCTTTCTTTCTTTCGTAGTACTACTAGTCAAAAGATATTGATTAATGGAGTTGATATAGATGAGAAGAGACATATGCAAATAACTATTATTGGTCATTTCAAAATAAAATGAGGCTTCAATGTTAGAAAAAGATATTAAAGTTGACAAATCTATTCCTATAGATTTAGGAGATTGAATTATTAATTATATTTGTATTCCAATTAATTAGTAGAAAAATTGTTGTAATGACTATAGAAAAGGGTTTGAAAATTTTGATGTCTTAGATCTATTTAAATTCATATTTTTAATTTTATCATGCATGAGTAAACTAAGGAAGTGACATATCAATATATTCCATTTTATTTTTTTATATTAGTTTTGTAGTGAGATAAATGAGTCATTGTAATGGTTTTTATTTTTTAATATTAGTTTTGTAGTGAGATAGATGAGTAATTGTTATGATTAAAACAATATTATTTACTCTTAAGTGATATTTATTCGTTTAAATCTCTAAAGTTAAAATTCCATCTATAATACCACCAAATGTGTATTTATAAAAATAAAATTATTATTCTTTAAAAAAATATTTTCATCATATTTATTTATTAATAAAATAATAATAAATATTAAAATCAAGAAACATCGATATATTTATATTAGATAAATAACATAAAATGATTAAATAAGATAATTTTAAAACATCTCACTAAGTAAAAATGAGGTTAAAAACACTTTAATGAAGTATAATTTTAAAAATTTGAGACAAATCAAATAATATAAATATAAATTAATAAAGATGACCAATAATTAAAGATTAGTTAAATAATATAAATATAAATAAATAAAAAAGATCAATGTGTAACTAAAAATAAATTAAATAACATCAATATAAATAAATAAAATAAGATATTATCCGTTTAAAATTATAGTTTTTAGAATTTTTTTATAGATCTTATATTATTTTAACAAAATAACAAACTTATATAATTCATAAATAACATAATTGTATATGAAAAATATTACATTATAAATTTGAGATGTTACAATAGGTCCTGAGTAGTTTAGCCACAATTCTCTAACACCATCATTGTGTTTTTGATCACTGGCTCTATTCTTCACTCTCTCTCTAGTTATCTATTTTGTTGGATTGAGCACTAACCATTTGGTCAAAAGTTATATCTTCTAGTTATCTATTTTGTTGGATTGAGCACTAAACACTTGGTCAAAAGTTATATCTTATAGTCAGGGTGGAACTCTTTCTATTGAGCATAACAACCAAGTAAAGATTTGATTGTACTTGGCCCACCTTACCTCACAATTAGTGCATCCAACAACAATCTTTCCCTCAACAATTTCCCCACTAGGAATTGACTTTGATTGTGACTTCTCCTACCTCACCATCTCCATATGATAATTGATACAATGTGCAACAATCTCCCCCTTGGTAGTTATTTTGTTGGGAATCCAACTCATAACCTTGACTCTAATACCAATTGTTTGGTCTAGTGCTTACAACTAGGCCAAGGATTATAGATTATAGACAAGGTACAACTCTTTTTACTTAGGAGGGTAGCAGTTCAAATACCTTGTAACTTAATTTATGTAGCATTTGTCACGGGACAATTGGTGCAATTAGCAACATATTTTCTACTAGACTAGTATGCTCTTTCATCTTCTTGCAAGGAACGTTCTCTCTCATACAATAGTTTCATGATTTCATCTTTGTTTTATGTTATTTGGATTCACTCACTAAGCTCACATACCTTTAACCCCATATATATATATATGATAGACACCAATTAGTTAATTAGTTACCTACATCAGTTCGTTAGAATAGTTAAGAAATAAGACACATCACCAGCAAAATAAAAGGGAAGTGAAGAGAGAGATCTCGTCAAAGTTTGAGAATTGGGCTGTTTAGACACTCAACGTTCTGTAAATTAGAGACTTTTAGTGAAAACTATAGTCGAACAAGGAGAGGTGCTACACTTTTCAAAACATCTCAAAGTTATGCAAGTTAGAGACTTTTCAAGGTATTCAAATGAATTTGAAACCAGAACCGAAGAGTTCAGTGCCAGCATAATGAGGCACAGCACCTGAACAAGATACAGTTTGAAGCACTGGGAATGCGAATGGAATCATTGAAGGCAATGATGAACGGATCACTGATAAAGAGAAGTACAGGTGAACTTGAACCTTTAAAATGGTCATCAGAGGGAGATAAAAAATCAGTTTCAGGCACTCGATAGCAGGAAACAGGTTTATTGGTGAATGAAGAACAAGTCCACATTTCAAGTCAAGAATCAGAAGTGGGACCAGTCAATGGATTGGGAAAAGAGGTCAAAACAAAGATCAGAGAATTTTTCTTGGTTTGAGAAGGAGTTTTGATTATATAAATGGGGGACTTAGGAACCATCTTCTGAGATGTGAGATGAAGAAACAAATGCAGCTTCATCTGACGATAAAGTCAGAGTCAAGAGGGAGAAGGGAACAGACATAGAAGGTGGCCAGGTAGCACCATGTCATGGACGGATGGGTTTTGAGCAAACACAACACTACATTGGAATGCCAGACTCAACTCTGTAAAATGGCTGCAGGAAGGATGACATAGGAGGAGTCAACAGAAATGGTGGCAGCACCTAGAAGCAGGGTCCATAGGAAGGAGAAGAAAGAAGGGAATGAGTTTGAATTACATAAACGGAACTCAATTTCTGGCCAAATGATTTCTGTAGTGAAGAATTGGAATCTTAGAGAAGGAAATGATATCTTTTTTCACAATTAATGAATCAAGCCCAATACCATAAAATGGGAAAAAGAAAAGAAAACAGCAAGCCACAGCAACTTAAAACATAATGATTAAAACTAACCTCCGCATGAAGTTTCTCCATAGGCATCCATTCTCCAGGACCACAGAGATCAGAAAGAACAGTAGCTACAGAAGATACTACATCCTTTTCTTCCAGCTGCTGAAGCTGAAGATTATCAGCATCTCGATCTACTCGGGATCTGCCTTCAGACCTCTTATCTGTACCAACAAAACCATTGCAATAACATTACAAATTCTGAGGCTATTCATGCAGAATAGAAGTTGGATCTAATGCAAAAGCAAACACAACTAAAGTAATACCAATAAAGAAAAATGCATGGACTTCCTATTTACTAATTTGGTTGGGCAGCTTCATTGTATTTCTAAACAAAATCAGCTTGCCGTGTTTTTCCTTCGTTTACAGAAGGGATGCCTATCCTCCTTTAGATGAACTTTTTTGTCTTCCTTTAAATATCTTCATTTATTGAAAAGAAAAAACAAGTTCCACGTTCTACTATTTTCAATTTCTGATATTAAAAACTAGTTGTTGATTAGCTTCTCTATTGTATTTCCATCATTTAACTGGGAATAAATCGTTTGTTCAAGTTCATAATTAAAAAATATTATTCATCAGATAATCACCAATTACTATTACGAGTTTCAAGAGGGTACAATGACTTTTCCTCCAAGGTTTATCTTGTGTTGACTGAAGGTTGATATCCCACATCAACTACTGAATGATAGAAATGGCCAAATTATGGCTTACATAAAAGCTTGGGCAATTCTCAACTAATGAGCTATTGTTATAGGTTGAGTTAGGCCCAATCCAAATTCAAGATGATTTCTTTTATTCAATGTCTATCAATTAATGCTGAGCAAGAATAGGGAATCTTTATTCATTTTCCGATGTAATGGATAAAAAAAGTACAAAGAACATACTTCTAAGTGAGTTCCTCTGTAGACTTTGGAGACTTCTTCCCAATTATTTTCAGGAAAAAAAAAACTAGAATATCCAAATCTAATTTCTCAATTCTGCCACTCCCCTATAAAAAATAAAAAAGGATAAACATAGATAAAATAAAAAGAATGACTAACCAATTCTATTGTTCTAGACTAAGATAGAAAAATGTTAGTTAGCATATCTAGATAAGAATAATTAACTTATTCCTATTTATTTTCCAGGCTTTCCTCCTTTCTGCTAACTGTTTCAAAGCCTATCATAGATTTGATATTGACCTACCCTCAATTGTCCAAAAAACTACTTAACCCAACTACTTTCCAATGCAATGTACATAACCCCATGACTTTCCCAGTGGCATAAAACTAGTATACCCCATTCCCAAACTAGCTATGCAAGGTTTGTAGGAGGATCATTGTACGTATTTTTATTCTGGCATATACTAAAAAGGTTGTGTTTAGATTTAAACCCGTGATCAACCGATTACCAAGGCACAACTTTCCTAGTGAAATACAAAGAAGAAAATTAGGAATATGGACCAATTACTTGGTATGCTATACTTTTTGGTACCGTTACAAAGTACTTTACTATGGTACTTAAAGGGTAACAACATTCGGTACACTAGTTGGGTTCAACTTCATTGTAAATTCTTGATATAAACTTTAAAGAAACTAAAATGCCACATAATAAGCACTCATTTATTATCATTTTTTTCATTCCCAATAACCAGGTGGACTTCAATTTTTTTCAAAACCAGTTTACTTTAATCAACATGCAGTTTTGAGAAAACTACTCGCACTTTTGTCAACTATGATCTGCATGTTGGAAACTATATATCTATTGAATTAAAATAGTGAACACACATTTAAAGCAATAGGCGGCCTAAGGTCTATAGCAAATAATGGGAGCTGTAGCACGTCTGTTTCAAATATGGAGCTAATTATATATTAAAAAAATATTCATGAAATATTTAATATTATTTGAAATAAACCAACATCCTAGTAGCACTAGAAAATGATTATGCCTTGGCACTAACATGAAAAAGCAAGAATTAAAATCAAATCCAAAAAGTCCTAATATAAACTCATAATATGTGATGCATAAATATCAGATATCCACGTACAATACAGAACAGCTTAGGATAGACACTTTAAGCCCTATGGCTGGGTATGGCATATCCCTTAAAAAGTAATATCCCATGGCTTAACATATCCTCAATCCCTTAAAATGGCTAGCTCATGTCATCTTGCAATCAATGTTTTAAATCTCAAATAGCGGCATGTGACAGCCCACCCAAAACCACTATAGCAGAATAACAGATAGAGGAATAGGCTCTATTTTGAAATATTTTATATTATACGTACAATATACATAGATTCTAAAAAATTATTAAAATTACTCAAAATTCATACCCTACAATAAAAATCATAAGTGTCTTAAACAAGACATACACAAGTGAAAAACAAACAAAAGTCAAATACAGGTTTCCTAGGAAGAAATCATTAATCATTATCTTCAAAGTCAAATTCGTCTATATCATTTTCACCACTATTACAGCTATAGATTTCACTTAAGCAAATTGAAAAGCCTAACCTCTGTTTACAGAGATTTTTCGGAATCAACACATACCATAGCTATCACATCAAGTGTAGCTACTATTAAGCCTACTATTGGTCTACTATGGTCGCTACACAAAAAGGCTCTACTGTTGTGCTATAAATGCACTATTTAAAACTCTGCGTGCAATTGGGCTATCGAAAGTTGTATTATTGTATCATCATATAATCCCTGGCATCCACAATGTAGAGCACAGAATATTGAAAAATACCAGGCATCAACCCATGTTACAAGTCATCATAACAGTAAAGCTCAATTATGGCTTCAAAGAGTAGGGATAAAGATATGTTATCATCATAGCACTAAACCAGAAGAAACACTGAATATGATGTAAAATTCAGAGTATATACCATCAGAAGTATATGCTAAACTTTATACTTCAAACTATATGTATTGATGGGTAGTCCACAAGCATTTTACGGAAATTAATATAAAGAGAAAGATTCTTTAGTTTCAAAATTGTTCAGGAGTAATCTTTTAGCAGAGAGACATTCATAATTTGAACCTCTAACATATTATCTTTATTAATCCAGTTGGTGACACAATTAACAAAACCAAAAAATGTTTGATCAGTGAATATTGCAAGGAATTCAGGAATTGGACATGGTATTACAATAAGAACAATACAAACATGGAAACTAAACAAGTTCCTAGCACCCTTAAATGTTAGAAAGGGTCTTGATTACAGTTTGCAATAACATGAAGGGCAGAAAGAAGAATTTTCTAGAACTTGAAGTTCCGAAGACTCCCATGACCAGCAAGCTCTCTTTAGCATCCACCAACTTAATTGTAAGACCACAGTTAGTCCTCATTGCCACTCATCTCCCTGGGGGATTCATGTTCTGGAAAATTCCATGACAACATTTAAATGTAGCAAATTATCTAAACAAACTAGTCCACCTTCTTTTTTAGTTACTGCAAATAATACCAACCACAGGCACAACCAAATATGGCAAGTGGCCACTACAAGAGATAACAATCATCTAACCCTTGCACGACCAATGACCCTCTGAACACAATTTCAAACACCAAAACAACGATACATAATCCTCCCGCCAGCATACCACCCAAAATTCCAAAATATAACAATTCAACATGACAACACATCATAACTGCAAGTTGAAAATGTAAGACCATAACTTCACGTCCTCACTAACTTTTATGGATTGAACCCAAAGAATTAACTAAAAAGCAGACATACACGCCCTGCTCTTCCCCGAAGATAAAAACAATGTATCCCCTTTAACAAAATGACCACCAACATGCATTTAGAGGGGCACTCATTCACTACATCCACCACAGCAAACGTTAAATCACGGGAGAATCAGACCAAATTCACAGCAGATGAGAACGAGTTCACAAACCATAAACCCGCGTACAACACGACATGCATTTAGAGGGGCACTCATTCACTACATCCACCAAAGCAAACGTTAAATCATGGGAGAATCAGACCAAATTCAGCAGCATATGAAAACGAGTTCACAAACCATAAACACGCGTATAACACGACCAACAAAACTTATATGTAGTTCCTTAGACTTTTCTCGTGCTGTTCCCACACCCGAATCAGAATTGGAATTCCACCTCGACAACTCACAATTAAGGCTTGCATTAATAGTCAGCATAGGTTATAAGAGTCAAATTCCAATTTTGATTGCAGAACAGAACAAAAAAAACCTCGGTGTGAGCAATTAAAATTCCAATTCGCCTTATATGCAACAACAACATAATCAATACTCGCAATTAGAATTCCAGAAGCACTAACCTATAGGTGCTGGAAGAGAAGACTTGCTACCAGCGTAACCATATCCATCATACCCATCTCTCCGCATCTTCCGCGCACCCACATCATCCTCATCGTCGAACTCCTCATCGTAATACTCCCTACGCGGCGCCTTCTTCACCGGGCCCTGGCCCGGGCCTAAATGGTAGTTATAGGGCGGCACGACGGGCCCGGGAGGGGCGGGGTGGTTAGGGTAGTGGCGTGGGGCCACCGGCCCGCCCAAAATACTGCGAACAGGCAAAAGAAAGTAAAACTCCTTGTCACCGATTTGGAGTAGATCTTGGGAATCGAGCTTGACCGGGGGGTTGCCAGGGAGGTGGAGGACGCCCTCGACGAGGCAGCCGTTCTTTCCAAGGACCTCGAGGGCGAAGCGGCGACGCGCGAAGTCATAGAAGATGCGGGCGTGGTGGCGGGAGATGTTCATTCCGCCGCCGAGACTGGAGAGGTCGACATCGACGGTGGACTTCTTGGAGTTGCGGCCGAGGACGATGGAGTAGGTCTGCATGTAGTACTCGAAGTCCTCCCCCTGGAGCTTCGCAAACCCCGCCTCCACGTCGCCGCCTGCCGCCGCGCTTGACATCGCCGGAGAATTAGAATAGATATTGGGGAGAGTCAGAGGGTTTGGTTTGAAGCGAGAGAAAAAAGGAGCGCGTGACAGTGAAGAAGAAGAAGAAGGGGATGTAAAAATAAATATGTTTTGTATTTTCTGTGCGTTTTTATTTTTTATCTTTTTAGTCTTAAAAGATTATTTTCTAATATTCTCCAGGGGAATGTCTAACAAATAACCTGAGAAAGTTATCAATTACTTCCATCAATAAATATGAAATGTAAATCATAAATATCATATTAATATATTTTTTTGTATTAATATATGAAAAAAAAAATATTGTTAGACAATTATTAATAAGAGATGAATTAGTTAAAAATTAGAGTTTAAAATTAAATACTTTTTTTAATCACTAAATCTTGTATAATGCAATATTGATAATTTTTCATGTGCTGTGCGTTTTCAAAAGAAAAATTCTAGAAGAATAGGAATAGAGAAAAACAATATATTTTATACTAGCTTGATTTTTCTCAAATCTATCCTTAATTTAATTAATCAAAGTTTAATTATTTCACTATTCTTAAAAATCAATGCTATGTATGCTAATATAAGACACTATACAACACTAAAACTTTACTCATTCTTCAAAATCTATTAAGAAAGTTAAATAAACTTACAAATTGTGATATCCCATAAAAAAAGTGTGATATAATTATTTATTTGACTTAATTTAATTATTTATTATGCTAACGTAATAAATTAAGAGCATTTTTATAAAAGATATTAAGTTGCTAGACTGAAATATAAACATAAAAAAATAATTATAAATAATAATATTAAAAAGAATAAAGTTAAAAAGATAAAATATAGAAATAAATTGAGTTAATATAAATACATGTTAGAAGACAAGATAATAAGAGCATGAAGAACTATTCTTAGATTCACGGAATATTATTATTATTATTATTATTATTATTATTATTATTATTAGGGATGACAATTAAATCCGGTGAGGATTTATTTATTCTCATTTTGAGTTTGATAGAGAAAACTTGAGTTGATCAAAATAGGGTGAGACGGGTTTTCTCGCTTTAAAAAGTTGAGGATGGGCGTGCGGATATGGGTAATATAATCCCCACCCGAGTCCTGTCTCCATTCCCGGATCAACTTTATATTTTAATTTAAATTTTAAAATATTAATATTTAAAATTTTTTTTCTTTTTCTATTATATATAAGGTCATTTTTTTATATTTTACTATTTTTTACTTTTTTTATCCACTTTTTAATTTTTTTATCTTTTTTAATCTTTTGTATCAATTAATTTATTACATTATTCTCTTTCTCTTACTTTTCAGTTTTTTCACATTTCTTTAATTTTTCAAATCAATTTTTTTCAATCTTTTCAATTAATTTGATGAACACAAAATTAATTTTATCTTTTTTAAATATTTTACATAAATCTTAGTAATAACTAATATTATTTTATTTATAATTTATATTTATTAAGTTTTATTATATCATATTTTTTTGATCTTATTATTTTTATTTGTCATATATATATATATATATATATATATATATATATATATATATCAAATTTTATCTTAATAAAATAATTGTATTTTAAAGAATTATAAAGAATTGATAATTTGAACTTTTATTAATTAAATAAGAATTAACTTATTAAATATTTCCTTATAAATTATATATTTCTTATTTTTAAATGATAACTTAAAAATGAATTAACTTATATATGTAATCAAATATTTGAATATATTATTATAATAATAATGTTATAAATATTCTATATATGTATAAATAAAAAATAATTAAATATTTCTTTTACATATATATGTTAATATAAATATAATAAATTAAAAAATATATTTAATTAATAATAATTACAAATTGAAAAATTATAAATATTTATTTATGTATAAGAAATACATAAAAATAGTAAAACTATTTTTTTATAAATATCATTATTTTTAAAAAAATAATATAAATCGAGAACGAGACAAATGTGGAAGACCCGAAACCCAACGAAGACGGAAATGAGGATTTAATTTCTAACCTCGACGGAGATTAGGAACGGGAACAAGGATGATTAAAAAAGTCAAGATCGAGGAGGCAAAATCCACCCGATCCATGCCCATTGTCATGCCTCATTATTAAGGGTAAGAAATATCTCATAGATACTTATAAAAATTAAGGAAGAGAGACAACCTCAATCAAATTTTGTTTAGTGTAATTTTTGTGATAATAAAGTTTTAAACATAATTATAATAATTATTGATTTAAAAATATTAGGATGTCATTCATTCAAATTATTTAGGTTTAAGAAGAACTCTTAACTCTAAATAACAAAGTGACAATATTTTAAAATAAATTTAAATATCAAAAATTATAATTTAATTATTGATTATATTATATTTAAGATCTTGCAATTCTATTTAACGTTTAAATGTTATGAATATATTTAGGAACGATTTGCTTCGAAATTGAAAAATGTGATTTTCATTAAAGTTGTTGCATTTGATGTTGGCTATTTAATGGTGTTTATTGCATGGAAATTTTTTACATATAACTCAAAATATAATATTGTTAGTAACTAAAGGTCATGTTATTAACACTAGAATAAAAATTTGCATTTTTTTTTACTTTAAGCCTAGTAAATGATTAAACTAAATTTTGAGGTCAACATATAAGTTATAGAGAATTTTAATGACTAAAAATCAATATCATGTAATTAGTATAATTATAAATATAATTTTTATACTAAACAAAGGTCATAAAAATAAAAGAAAAAGTAAGTAAGGTATTACTCAAGACTTAAAAGATATAATATTGACCTTTTTATATATAAACATTACATAGGTACATGTATGAGTGTATATGGTGAGATGTTTGATAATAAATTATTATTTATATGAGCGAAATGTTATAATATAATTATTTGTGTTTTGTTTTGAATAACTTATAAATTATAGTAAGTTAGATTATTGCGACTTGTTTGAGAGTTAATTATGTGTTTTAAGAAGTACAAACAATTGTTTGAGAGTTAATTATGTGTTTTAAGAAGTACAAACAACTTATGAAAGTGAAAATTCAATTTATGCTTTTAAAATGAGTTATACTATACATCTCGTTTACAATATATTTATGTGTATATTCTTTATTTATATTTTCTTCATATTTTCTTAGGGTTGGATGTCATTTATGAATGAGGGTCTTTATGATCTTTTACCTTGTCCTTAGAGATTTAGAGTACGGACCTTTCATCTAAATAAGATGAGGGCTAACCACAACCAACAATATTATATTGACGGATTTATGTTAAACTCATTTTAGTTGAGAGTGAATTAATAGGATCATTATGATCCGATTTGTTAGGATAATAAAACAGGTTAAGTCTGGTGGATCGACTTGTCAACCCGTCTCAAAATTATAAGACAAGTTGATAGTTTTAATCTATCAGTTTGTTTTGACCCGTCTCATTTATCCCATCAATGAGACAAGTTAAAGATGTGGTAAACTATTCCACTAATATATTTTAATAATATATTTATATATTAAAATTATAATAAAAAGTTATAATTAAAATATTATATTTTTATAATATTATTTAAATTAAAAATATTAATAAATTAAATTTATTAATTATAATTAGTTATTTTAATATATAGTGATTTTTTTAACAAAAATATTAATTAATAAAAACTTATAAAATTATTCGTAATGATGCCAGATAAATCGACCAGCATTTACTTTTTTGAATTAGAAAAAAACGAGTTAAATTTTATCATTCCTGTCGGCTTATATATTTATATACTATTTAAGAAATGTGTGTATTGTCTGATATCATGTTATATTATAGATTTAACCTAGGAAAACTATTAATTTACTATATTATGCATTTAATTTGTATACAATATAAAAGTGAAGTTCTTATTGATTATTTTGTCGCAAATCTATCAAATATCAAGATCGAAACCATTATAAAGAATATCAATATTATAAATCTATGTCTTTGTGTTATAGTTAAAAAAATATTGTACTAAAATGTAGAAAAAAGTATTTAATTTCCGTTTCTTATATTTTTATATTCATCAATTTAATATTATAATTTTTGAAATATGTTATTCTAATAATTTGTTCATATAAAATTAATATTTAATTATGATTTTTTTATATTATCAAATATGATTAAATATATTTTTAATACTTTTATATTTAAATTTAATATTTAATAAAAAAAGTATTATAAATTTTATAAAAGAATTAATTTATCTACATTTTTAATTTTAAAGAATAATTTATTAAATTTTAAAATTTAGAAATTGAAACTAATTCAAAAAAATACAAGCATGAAAATCAGTCGGTTCAACAACCCTCAAACAAAAATAAAACTTAAAAGTAAGGAAGAAAAAATCAGTGGCGGATCTTCTTGGGAGCTGAGAGGCGTGACCCCCCAAAGTTTTATAACTCCCATGTAATTTATGATTTTTGGCCTCCAAACATAACGAACATTTAATATATTTACTTGTATATTTACAATTTTATCCTCCTAGCACTCCTCAGCTTTGTAACTCTCATATAATTTATGATTTGGTTTCACTCAAACTTAATGATCATTTAATATATTTAAGTATATATCTACAATTTTATCTTTTCAACTTTTCATATATTTTTTTTATTATTTATTAATAATATATTATTTAGCTCCACCAAAATAATTGGTCAAGATCCGCTACATGCAGAAAGAGTAGAGATTAAGGGTTTTGTAGAGGAATCAGAAATTAGATTTATCAGAGGAAAGTATCATTGGTAACCCTCTTTCCTTTCTAATTTTTAGCAAAAATTGTAAAGATATAACATAAATGTGTTTTTTTTTTTCTTTTCTACTTAATTTCTCTGATAATTTTTTAGCATAACTTTGGGTGGTTGTTTGCGATGTGAAATGTTAACTCGGGTGTGTAAGAAAAGTGGAAATGTTAACTCGGTTCAAACTCGCGAGTTTCACTCGCCACTGAACGAGTGGGTAGGAACCATAAAAAACGACACTATCCTGGGTCGTTTGGTCATGTTTCGAAAGTTTTTGTGTGAATCTGCGTTTGGAGGTGTGGATCTGCCTTTTTTTTTTTCTCTGTTTGTGTCCCTGTTCGCGTTGCTTGTCACACTCTTCATCATCGCGCTGGTCTTCGTTCATCTCTGCTCGTCGCAGCTGCTGCTCGCCTCATATCCGCTCATCGCCACTGCTGTTTGCGCCACCTTACGCGTCCGCATCCCCTGTTCCCGCCGTAACAGATCGCTTTGTTGCTGCTGCTGTTCGCGCCACCGTTGGCTTCCGCAGGCTTGCCGTCACATATCGCACCGTCAGTCTTACAGCGGGTTCTGCTTTGGTTCGGATTCAAGCCTTTTTTTTGTTGGTTTCTTCTCCAACTATGCGAATTTATGTTCGGATTCAAATTGTTTAGTCCTTCCTGAGTTCCAGCTGTTGAGTTAATTCGTTTTTATTAATTTTATTTTTCTATTTGGTTATTTTACATATAAAGGTTGAAATTTTAAAAGGTATGTAAGTACTTCAAATTAGTTGCATCCCCTGTAAAAATGCAGTAAAATAGTGAGTCGATGTTTTGTACAATGAAAAGTGAGATGTAATTATTACTGAAAGATATACAATGGCGGAGTTTTTAGATTTAAGTATCATCATGAGGGGTTAAAATTTTAATGATGAAAATTGTTGCACATGCTTCAATGTTGATGCAAACTTCTCATATGAGTAAGAACTTGATGGTGATGAAGATCATGGTGATGATTCAATTAGAAGATTAGACAAGGACATGTAAACTTGATAACATTTGTTATTTTAGTTATTTCGTTGTTATCTTATCACATAGGAACTTATTTATTTTAGTATTATGGAATTGATATCATGTTTATAGTTTTTGTTAAATTGGTATTTTTCATATGAAATAGGTTCTTACTAGTCTAAGATCGAGTCCATAAATCTCCCATGAGTCATATGTAAACTATCGAGTCTAATAAACTTGGTCATAACTAATAACCATCATTTATGCTTTCTTTGTTTAGGAATTGGTGCCATTCTGAATATGATGGAAACCTTTGTTTTGAATTGATTCATTTGATGTGCTGCAATCATTTCTGTGTTCCTTGTTTCCTTGATTTTGTGAAGTGGGTTTTTAGTTGGTACGTTTGTACCTGATACTTCCAAGTGATGTTGGGAAATTGCGCAAGGGCTTTGAGTTGCTTTAAACAATGAAATTAATTTCATGGAGATCCCTCCTGATGGAAGTGGAAAATAGTTTTTAATTCCACTAAGTAGTCATGTAGGAGTTGGATTCCTCATGAATGTGGTTCTAGTTGATTATTTATTTTGACCGTTGCCTGGAGATAATTAATGATTTGAAATGCTGTATTGCGTTGGAATAATGGTTTTAGCTGTGACTGCTTTGATATACTGGTTGTTGAATAAGTTTAATTTTTAAGGCTATAATGGCATTTTGAATACATTTACTTCATAATGGCTTTACATAATGAATTGAATTGAATCCCTTCATTCAATTCAATGATTTTGTTTTCTTCTGATATTTGTTTCTTGGGTCCATCAGTATTATGGCTTAGCACTCTTATTCATCATGCTTCTAACTCCTTGAAAATGAACATTATTTGAAGAATTTTTCAACATCCTTGACACACATGATATTCAACCTCTCCCTTTGTTAAATGTCGTGGATAAAGTTGTTATTATATGGTGATTTACAGTGTTCATTCTGCTTATTATCATTTAATGAATTCCATGCTTTATCATGAAAGTCTTATTTGAGGGTGTATTTGTAGGAAAAATCTTCAGTTGTGGGGTGTTTCATGTCCAATCTCGCACATATTATGAGTCTAATCTTGAAAAAGAGTTGCATAGTTTCTTTGATTGTGAACAAGTCAAAGAAGTCTAGCAGAGAAAGGTGGTATTTGGAATGTTTTAGTTGAAAAAGTAGATCATGTGGAAAGTATTAATGAACTTATTTTTTAGTTCTTTGAAACCCTCCCCATTGATTTCAATTCTTAAATTGGTGTCCTTCTTTGGTGTATTGAAGGACGAAGGAATGATATGAGCTGGGAGGATAAAAATCAAGAGTCACATATGTAAGCTGTCATAACTAATAATCATCATTAGTGTTTTCTTTGTTTAGGAATTGGTGCCATTCTGAATGACGTGGAAGCCTTTGTTTTGAATTGATATATTTGATACAATTATTTGTGTTCTTGCTTCCTAGATTTTGTGACTTTAGTTGGTAGTTTTGTACCTGATACTTCCAAGTGATGCTGGGAAATTGCGCAAGGGCTTTGAGTTGCATTAAACTATGAAATGAATTTCATGGAGATCCCACGTGATGGAAGTGGCAAATAGTGTTTTACTTAAATAGTTTTTAGCTCAATTAAGTAGTCATGTAGGATTTTGTGTTGTCATGAATGTGATTCCAGTTGATTATTTGTTTTGACCCTTGCCTGGAGGTAGGAAATGATGAAATCCTGTATGTACTCACGTTTTTAGCTGTGATTGCATTGATATACTGGTTGTTAATAAGTTTTAACTTTTAAGGCTAAATTAGCACTCTGAATACATTTTGATGTAGGGTTTAGGGTTTACACTTTTACTTATTAGATTAGTAGAGAAACATGAAGTTGAGGAGGGAGAAAAGGAAGAGTTGGAGTTGTTTTCATGTTTACCATGCTGCAAAGGAGCTCTGCTCCATTCATATTGTTTCTCATTTTTCGTCCATTATACATTCTAATAGAGGATTTTTGTATGTTTTAAGTCAATTCTCAGCATACAGTGGTTTTAAATGAATTTAAGTGTTCTGGATCATAACTAATAACCATCATTAATGTTTCTTTGTTTAGGAATTTGTGCCATTCTGAATACGATGGAAACCTCTGTTTTTACTTGGTTCATTTGATTTGCAATGATTTTTGTGTTCTTGGATTCCTTGATTTTGTGACATGGGTTTTAAGTTGATAAGTTTGTACCTGATACTTCCAAGTGATGCTGGGAAATTGCGCAAGGGCTTTGAGTTGCATTAAACTATGAAACGAATTTCATGGAGATCCCACCTGATGGAAGTAGCAAATAGTTTTTAGCTCAATTAAGTAGTCATGTAGGATATTGTGTTGTCGTGAATGTGATTCCAGCTGATTATTTGTTTTGACTGTTGCCTGGAGGTAGGAAAGGATGGAATCCTTTACGTTCTCACGTTTTTAGTTGTTATTGCATTGATATACGGATTGTTAATATCTGTTTAACAATTAAGACTCTTAATTCATAATATCATTCTTCAAGATTGATACTATCTTGAAACATCTCGAATGTTCCAAAATGAAATGAATACTGTGATGGTGAAAGTTGGTGTGCAACAACAGTGCTGCGTTGTTTTCTCTTTGTTTATTAAAAACTGAAAAAAAATAGTCAAACAGACCAGCCACTCCATGTGTTATGTTTGAAATTTTAAATGATTATATCCTGAATAAAAATGTTTCGGGAGTGTTGGATACATGTAGCATTGAAATGTGGGATTTGTTTATAGGTGATTTGCTTCAACTTTTGGGACCTATCTTTGTATCCATTACAATTACCTATCATTTTCTTCGGATTCCTCCCCCTCCCCACCTTTTTTATTCACAGGCATACACTCGTACCTATATATGTTATGTTTTGTCACATAGCATTTAACATTAAAACCACATTTTTTATATACATATTTACACAGATTTATATATTTGATCTAATTTCAGATTGATAAATGAAGCATATTGTGAAGATTTTGGCATTGGTAATGGCCATTACAGCGTTATGGATCGGCCTTCTACAAACTTCTGTGGTTCCACGCAGTTATACTTGGCTGGTAGGTCTTTATGTTAATAGATGGTTGAGTTTTATTTTTTTTATTTGTTTTTTGTGACAAAATAGTTTTTGGGAGGGGAGGCTTTCTGTTCAAAGTGTAGGGCATGTAATTGTGCGTGTAGATTTCCTACCAAGGGGGAGTACTGTCAGCTAAATTCAAACCTAACCTAAGCCTTATAAGCAAAGTGCTTTGATCTTTTCCATCTTCGTCAATCCTGTTGTAACTCTACTCTATTTTGTTGAATTCTAATTGCATAATGCTGACTATTTATTGTTCTGTCCTCTCTGCAGCTACCTATATATTTTGTTGTGTCTTTAGGATGTTACGGTCTATTAATGGTAGGAGTGGGCCTGATGAATTTTCCAACCTGTCCTCAAGAAGCTGTATTGTTGCAGAAGGTATTCTTCTATGCCTTATGTTCATTAGATATTGCAATGTTATGTAATTTCCTTGGTTTGTACTTTTATAGTTCCTATGGGAAGAGTTTAATTCTCCTCTGAAAAAATAGATTAACTGAAATATGATTTTTATTATATCAATACAAAGAGATGATATAAGATATATACTGGAGACCTAAGTTATTTTAGGAAATATAATAACTCTATTTTATGCTAGGATCCCTTGATTTATGGGATTGTTTCTAATTATTCAAATCTGTACAGATTATAAGGAAATATACAAATTTCCTGATTTATTCTTTCCTAAAATACTATTTGATTTCCCACATCTCCTAATTCCCTTTTTAAGGAATCCAGTAGAGCTAATCTTTATGGCCTGATTATAGTAGACTGGTTCAGGATTCATGGTGTGGCAAAATTGAAGCCATTGTGCCTTGTTAGAATTCAGATATGGTCTGCCGATTGTCATGTCACCAAAGAATGTTGCTTATTTTGCTTCTTTTCAGGACATTATTGAGGCCAAGGAGTATCTGAAACAAAAAGGAGTTGATCTTACTCTCAGCTGATGTGGTTTCAGATTTAGCTGCTGACAGTTACCCGATTGGGAGTTGTGAATGACTTTTTGCATTTAACTTCATACACAAATATTAACTAATGTTGGAATTGCTATTGATTTTGGCTAATGTACACGAACTCTTTATTACAACAAAAATGAATACCCTTTTCTGTTAGTGTTCTTTAATTTTGTATTTTAATTTTGATTGCAAATTTGTAGCTTTGAGAACATCGGAAAGTGATATTGAACTAGCTCACCCATTAGGGTCAGCTTGGTGCTTGGCAGTTTGAATAGTATACTCGAATACACAAGTTTTAATTATGATAAAACTCTAAATATAATTTAATATCCTTTTTAGATTTCAATATCTCTTTTTGTTTCCTTCAATTTTGCATGATGACGGTAAGGTCGATTCTTTTGGTTTTCAAGTTTGCCCCGTCTTTAATGTTGTTATGGTGATCATAGAACACTGTTAATTTATTATTTTGTTTGTCTCATGTACCAAGTCACTCTGACCTAGCAGCTTGATAGTTCAGACGACATTGTTGGCTAACTGATCGGATATGTGAATTGAAATTGAGTTGAAAGGAAGGGTTATCTTTAAATAAGGGCGATGATTTGTTGTAAATCGAATAGGTAATGCACACTTATGTGGAATATATAAATAATCTTAACATATTTAATATCCAATTATTCAACCTCTGGACCAAGAAAAGGTAGACATATTTCATCATTTAATTCTTCGTTAGTTTTGTTTTCTTTCTTTTCCATACCAGTTAACCAAACATATTCAGAAACAAAATTAAATAATTTTCCACACTAAATTCGCAATATAACATGATCAGTTTTTATTTTTTTTTAATTTGTGTATTTGACAAATTCTTTGCAAAGTTGATTTGTGTCTAACACGAAAACAATTCACAACGAGAAATCTAGAAGATAGAAGGTTTATTACTAAACATATAATTTTCATCGTCGTCATCTATTCGGTGGTAGACTCATAAAGATCTACATCCTCCTATTTCCAACTCTAGGGCACATGATCTCACATCTCAATCTAACTCAAGTTTTAATCTTTCATGGTCATCATGTTACCATTCTCACCACTCCTTCCAATACTCAATTATTCCCGACAAAACTAAACTTCCACACCTCCAACTTCCCCTTTAACAATGTTGGTATTCCTTCTTGATGTGATTTTCCTTAATAGAATGGATACATGATCTATTTAGGGTAAAAAATTGAGTGTTATTAAAACGAGAGAAACAATGACATTTTGAATTGTGATTTTGAAATATTAAACATAGAAAATGACATAGTATTTCGTAAGATACACGTGTGACCTAATTAAAACTAAAACAGGAAACAAACAGCAAAATAACTTAAATTCAACTTTGGGAAAAGAAGCCTTACAAAAAGAAAGATAAAATAATAACAACAAAGGCGCCACAAACTGAAAGTTTGATAAACCAGTTTGATCGCCACAAAAACTAGAATAATTCGTGATAAGATCGATGGTTCAAGTAAGAACCATAGTATAGAGTTTATCTCACGCTCTAACAAATCTGAAATAACATTATGATTTTTTCATTCAATTTTAAAATATAACTAGTTATTTTACTTCTAGAAGTACATAAAAGAAAACTAAATTCTTAATATTTCAAGCATATATAACTTGGTTTAGTGGATACATGATGTATAGTTAAACTTGAGGTCCGGGGTTTAAATTAGGTTTATTTTATTATTTTATATCTTTTAATATAATAAATCATTATAACCAAATTTTAAAGCTAAATACATAAAAAACTTAAGTATGATAATTAGGTTCATTATCCTCAGTCTAGATTAGCAATACAAACCATCATTTTCTTCCTTAAGTCCGATAAATAAGACTTATGTTATTATTTTACATATTTTAATATAATAAATCATTATAACCAAATTTTAAAGTTAAACACATAAAAAACCTAAATATGATAATTAGGTCCATTATCCTCAGTCTAGATTAACAATGCAGACCATCATTTTCTTTCCCATTTAGGCCTCCGTGGATTGGGCCGCATCACACAATTAGGCTTCCATCAGATTAATCACCATTTGCTCCAAGACTTCATAGAAATAGGTCAATTATCCTTAGTCTAGATTAGCAATACTGAGCCTCCGTGGATTGGGCCGCATTATGCAATTAGGCTTCCTTCAGATTAATCACCATTTGCTCCAAGACTTCATGGGTACTTTTAGTTCTTTCTCTTATCAAAGATCCTCCTAAGTCTTCTATTGGATCTTGAACTTCTGTTTCATCATGAGTCTGGAGAACCTATCCTTTACCAAAAGACAACCTAACCATGATCAAGATATGTAATGCCATATACCTTCTTAAACCCTAAATACAAACCTCCCTGCAAGAAAGCCCTCCTCATACTTTAACCACAGACATCATGTTTTCGTGAAGGATTGCTTTTTTCTTCCACACTTAACATCCCCACTTTGGTTTTCAGCCCCATGCCAATCTTCCCTTTCTATGCATTGTTGATGCCATCAACGAATGTCACCCCGAAGTTTTGCCTTCGGATTCTTCTCTTCCTTTTGTTGTCCCTACCTAGTGGTCTCCCGCACAATGTCATGCTCAATTTTAACCCGTGGTCAATGAGCTTCGACACCATGGCTCTCACTTTGCTATACGCCATGGAAATAACTTAGAGGAAAATAACAATATAACATGAAAAAAAGATCAAGTATGCGGTAGAAATAATTTCTTGAAAGTTGTAAGAATACGTAAAGAGAGAATGGAAAAAAATAATTGTAAAAGATAACACTAGTAATTTTTTATCTTAACAAAAAAAATTTCCATACAACAAGTAAAGATCCACGTGGACAGACACCAGTTAATCAGCCTCTTGTCGAATCAAATGTATAAATAATACTCTACAAGTAATTAATAATGAGAAATATAAAATATACTCATAGTAATAAACTGATTTCGTCTCTTTATTGAAATTACTTGATAAATATCTCAAAACAATTTTTTTATATAAAAGATTTTGAAAATTTATTTTCTCTATTTTGATTTAGAAGACCCCTCTTTATTCAAGTTAAATAAAATAATTTGAGTTGAACTAATTTAAATTTTTTAGATATATAATTAGGAATGCAACTCAACAAATGTTTGGGGTTGTTATAAACATTTTTGTGGAGTTCAAGGATGACGGGTATAATATGAATAGAAACTCCTTGTGTTAAAGTATGACATATTAGCTTGTGACACATAGTCTCTTCTCACTTATGGTGGATTATTGAAGAGGCACATCATCACAAAATAATCAAGCATGAGATCAAGGAAAATTTGTAAAGGATAATTGATTTCAACATATATCTTGAAATGTTGATTTTGTTTCGATAAGATACAAAAATGAAGAATTTGATATGTTTTATAATAAAATATATTATTTTTATAAATAATGGCAAAAGAAATTGAAACTCCCTATTTTTTTTATTCTTAATTTTTTGTTAGTTTTAATTGAGACATCTTTGGCTTATCTCAAACTATTTTTAACTTTGGTTGATCCATTTTCAATATTTTAGTCTAATTTCAATTATCTCAATCTAGCTTAATCCATTATAAAATTATTCAGATAAATATGACTTAACCCAATCAAGCTAGTATAACTCAACCAAGTTGAGTTCAATCTAACCTAATTCATTATAACCCAATATGATTTGTTTTGCCTAAACCTTAGTTGTTATGACCCTCTCTTGTCCATTCTCACTTGATCCTCTCGATCTAACTCACCTTATCATGGACTGATCCAAATTATCTTATTTAACTCGGTTTGGTGTGACCTAACTCATCCCGACTCAACTTGATTGGCCTAGTAGGACATGTTAAATTTAACCAATCGTAACTTGATCCAATCCTTACTAATCAAACCTAATATCAACTTTTTCGATTAAGCCTAACCCAATCCAATCAAACATATCCTAACTTAAATTGTTTCGGTATGAATGGACTTATCCGAATTTAACCCTCCCTACCCAATATATAAATTTTCGATCAGGTTCAACTTGTCTTATATAAACTTGACTCATTAGGTCCTATTTCCATTTAACCTCTCTCAACCCACTTAGTCTGACTTGACTTAACTCACCATAACCTAACCTAACATTTTCAACTCGATCTAGTATATCCTGATCAGACTTGAGCTAACAAGCTTGATTAGTCACGCTTTATCCTAATTTGATCCAATGTACTCTTAACTTGACAATACTCATATGGATGAGGATTAAGTAATGTAAGTTAGGTATAATTCACAAGTGTAATGATGATATTTTTTTTATTCAATAATAATTAAAATATTCTAGCAAGAAAATTAAAATTCAATTAGTTTAAAGTATCTTATTTTATAAAATAAAAAAATTTAAATTTTTTGAAAATTATAAATTTTCTATCCAAATCTAATACAAGATTAATGAATGAATAGACTTTTAGTTTGTCCTTTTTTTTTTCAAACTTAACTGTTTCTAACACACAAAATTAGAAGAAAAAATGATTGTTTTTTTTTTTCAACAAATAGTTTGTTTAAATAAATTTCTTCAAAGAAGAAGCAAAAAAAAAAATGTATTCTATACTAATGTTTTAAAATAGTTTTAATTTTATACGCAAGTTAATTTTAATATACCAACAAATATTTTTTCTAAAAAAAATTCTTCTTATAGAAATTTAATTTTCCAAACAAAACTTAAAACTTTTCTTACTCAATATATCTTTTATAAGAGGTTTAGCACAATTTTTTTCTTTTATCATTTAACACTGAAAACATTAAAAATAAGAAAACAATAAATAAATACATCATATTTTAAAAACTTAATTAATATTCATTTTTTCTTTCTATCTTTCTTTTCATATTATATTAGAATTATTATAAAAATCAAGAAATAATATATACATTCATTCTTAATAAATACGTGTTATACACATTTTCTTTATTAGTATCTCTTTCTTATTTCACATCATATATTATATAATTTTTTTTCTTCAAGATGTACACTAACGTTTTTAAGCGTGCAGAAACACATTTTCCTGTAATATTTATATTTTTTAAATGAATTCTTCTTTCCAAATAAGGATATTATTTTTTATTCATGTGTTAAAAATAAAATGATTATTAAAAAGTTATTTAATTTTTAATTGTTTTTTATACAATTTTTTTGTCTTTTAAAACAATTTTTTTATGATAAACAATTTTAAATTCTTAAAAAATAGAAAAATATTTCTCTACTTTTATTTTTTTAAAATAAATTATTCAAACATATTAAAAATCAGATGTGGTTATTTTATTAAAAAATATATTTTTAAAAACATAACTAATATATCTATTTAAAATTGTATTTAATTTAATTTAATTTTAAAGGAGCTAAGGATATTAATTATTGATTTTATGATAAGTAATATATTACTAGTGAACAATAAATAAATATATATAAATTTCTTCTGTCATTTTTATATCCGAGAAATGTACAAACACTTTGCTTAATATAAAAAAAATGAGAGAAAAAAATTTGTAAGAGAAGTTATAATAAATAAAATGGTGTAAACTTATTAATAATGATATTATATATATATATATATATATATATATATTTTTTTTTTTTAAGGATTGTCTTATATATAGATATTTATGTTTAAAGTAGAAAAAAAGTTGAGTTATGTAATTTTATTTGAAGGATGATAGAAGAGTAAATTAAGTAACTATACATTTTTTTTAATTATATAATTTAGTCTCTATATCATGTAAGTTTTGGTTCTAAATATTCCTTTATTATTTTGCTTCTTATATAGCAAATAAAAATACGGGACATTTCTTTATATAATGAAGTGAATATGAATATCATATTAAAAATACACAACATTATTATAAATAAAAAAATGAAAATGGGATCAATAATATATATATATATATATATATATATATATATATATATATGAATTAATTTAATAAACTATGTATTTAGTTTTTGTACAAGATACAAATGAAGTTCTAATGGATTATTTTGTCTCAAATGTTTCAAATATAAAAATCGAAGCAACTATAAACAATACCGATATTACAAAATCTATGTCTTGTGTTATAATAAAAAAAATATTGTACTAAAATATAGAAAAATTTATTTTATTTCTGATATTTTTATTTTAAAATTTTTAATATTTAATTTTTGAACACATGTTATTCTAATAATTTGTTGTATATAAAATTAATATTAATTATGATATTTTTATATTATCAAATATGAAAAAATGTATTTTTAATACTTTTATATTTAAATTTAATATTTAATAAAAAAATTATTATAACAATTATGAAAGAATTAATTTATATATATATATATATATATATTTAAATTTAGAGATTAATTTATTAAAATTTAAAATATACGATTGAAACTAATTAAAAAAAAAATACAAGCATAAATATCATATCTAACCTAAAATATATACTTAATAAATAACTATTTATCAAAGGTCATTTCTTTATATAGAAAATGTAAATTTATTTGCGTCACTATATTCACAAATGCACACACCATTGTCAAACATTCACTCAGTTCAACAACACTAAATCAAAAGATAGTATTAAAACGTAAAAACAAGATATTAGAAAGAGTAGGGATTAAGGGTTTTGTAGAGGAATCAGAAATTAGAGTTATCAGAGGAAAGGATCCATTGGTAACCCTCTTTCCTATTTTTTTTTTTTTTGCATAAATTGTAAAGATACCAGATAAATGAGTATTTTTTCTTCTTAATTTCTCTGATGATTTCTTCTTATTATCTATGACTTGCACCCATGTGGGAATGAATATAAATTTCTGTAAATCAGAGTTGAACGCAGTCACTACTGTGAGACGCTTTGGTTGTCGGTTGGGTTTGTAAATTTAACTTGACGGTGGTTGTGGTTGCATATTAGGTGTTTGATAAAATGTTAACTTTGGGTGTTTGTTTGCAATGTGTAAATGTTAACTCACCTTTATTCATGTGAGGGAGATTTTTTATAACGTCTCCTTGCCTCGAGGGGGTTCATCACATCCTTGAAGGGTTTAGCATCACATCCCTCACCTCGAGGGGTTTTTCATCACAACCTCTTGCTTTGTGAGGATTTTTTTCATCATAGAGGAACTTTTATATCCCATCTAATATCAGCTTAAAAATGATGAGCTGCCTAACTTAAATCTACAAAAGTAACTTAAATCTATAAAAGTAACGAGTTGTAGTTACTTATATACTATAATATCTCTATTCGATGAATTTCATCGTACCTCCTCAACCCCTCATCTTAAAAAGGATTTTTCATCTATGTAAGGAATGGGGTCTAGTTATCGGATATGAGTTTGTTATTGGTTGAGTTGTATTTCTTGGTAATTTGGTGTAAGCATTCGTATGTTAGAAGATCAAATTTATTACTCAAGGAACTTTGAATTTTCGCTCTCTCTATGCTTAGCCGTATTTTTCGTCCTTTTTAGATTTGGATATATCTGTTGAAAGTCTCACGTCGCCTACCTCATGTCATTTGGTATGATTTAAATACATGTTAAGTTAATCCACATATTGTCAATTGATTTTATGTTGGAACCTTAACATGGTATCAGAGCCAAAGCCTAACATTTTTTCGGTTATTGTCATGGGCCAAAAGTTGCCCTTTAGTTGGGTC